GACTGCAAAGTCAGTTTGAACCACAAGGTCAGCGGTTCACACTCACCAACCGCTCCTCAGAAACCCTATACAGGGTCGCTATGAGTGGGAAGAGACTGGACAACACTTAACAACAATTATTAAAAAGAATACATGGAAACATAAATACTTTTGGATATTTTCATTTTCTAGATTGAAGCAGACCCTGCTATTTTTTATGAGGTTTCCACTCAGAGATGCTACATCTCAACAGGTTTCAAATGTCACCACACTCAAGCACTGCACAACTTGAAAAACTTCCCCAAGCCTGGAACACGAGTTTCTTCATGAGGCATCAGGGTCATCACCTGTGTCTACACTGATTAGCTTGATCAAATATTAAGTGCAAAATGCTGAAACCATTATTACCCTAAGGCTGAAAGTCAGGGTGTGGGGCTAGATAGAGGCTGAAAGGTCTGTTAAACTGCAAGGTCCGTGGTTCAAACTCTCCAGCTACTCCATGGAAACCCTATACGGGGTCGTTGCTGTGAGTCAGAACGAACTCGATGGCACTTAAAGACATAATTGATATTATCTATTATTACGCTCTGGTAGCGTAGTGGTTACGAATCGGACTGCGAACCGCAAGGTCAGCAGTTCGAAACGACCAGCTGTTCCGCGGGAGAAAGATGAGGCTTTCTGCTCCCGTAAACATTTACAGACTCGGAAACCCTGTACAGGGTCGCTATGGGTCGGAACCGACTCGACGGCACTTAACAACAACATTATTACGCTATGGTTGGGATGGTGAGGTAAGTCCACTAACTACTGGCTGACATTTTGGGCTGTTCTCTACACTCAGGAGATCCCCCAGGAAGCCAAGAACTAACATCACAGATGATGCTTCAACCGCTAATCCGTGTAAATGGAGCGTTGGGAGGACAACACTACAAGCGTGAAGCAACAATGTTCCTCCTACCCGCGAGAAGCTCCAATTTGCGCTAGTGAGGCCACAAAGGGAATTTCTCCCAAAAGTTGCGGGAATGGTGCACTATGGATGGCGAAACCCAAGGGCGGCAAGCAGAATTAAAAATTTCTCAGACCTCATCAACTAGGTTCTCACTTTCTAAAACCAAACAGTTTCCTGGGCCTGGATAGGCATAATGCTCTAAAAAGATCCTCAGACACGTGGTGGAAGGAATCTCGCCGCGGGGAGAGGCGGTGGCATCCCAGTCGTCTGGTAAAAGCGAGTAGTTGCATTTGGCGGGCTCACCCCACGCACACTCCACTCTCCACCCCAACTCTCACATCTCTCTAGGAGACTCTACGGTCTGGGACCGGGAGGTTTAAGCCTCAGCGACCGCACAGCCCCTCCCTTCTAGGTCGGGCGCTGCCCTCATGCCCTATTGCATCCTAGGAGTTGTAGTTCTCCCAGGCTTGCATTCCACAAGCCGGGAGGAAAAAGTTAAGAGACTGCAGCTCCCAGAATGCTGTACGAGAAAGTCTCCACCCCTTTCTCTCCCTTCCCCCTTCCATTAGCCTAGCCCAGACCGAGCGCGAGTTGGGACAACCCAACTCGCCCCTGCGGACACAACGTGAGCCAGCCTGCCCAGAAACGGCACGACTAACCCTGTAATTGTGATAGTGCGTCTCCACGAGTTGCCGGTGGCGTGACTTCTCGTGGCCGAAGTTGGATTTCTCGCAGACCAGCAAGTGCCGCGGCACCTCCCGCAGATTACGCAGAGTAGCCATTCTACACCGGCTTCCGGCAACGCGGCCCAGAAGGAACTCCGTGCGGCCCGCCCCTGGCTTCTGCCTCGCCTTTCGAGCTCACCGCTTTAGTCTGGCCGTCGCCCCTCCTCTCGCCCCGCCCCATCTCCATAGAGCCCCGCCCCTCTCATTGCACATGCGCAGTCCTACCGGCCCGCGCACGTGGGCGCCAGGAGAGGACGAGCACTCGCTAAAGCTATGGACTCGCTAAGCCTATGGGAACGTTCTTGTGTTCTTTTACAACCCTTGTAGAATCTCTTTGGTAGGTGTGTGAAACCATAAATTTGCGGTCGTAAATGGAAACAACCCTGCTTTTGGGATCCTGGTGGTGGTGGTTATGTTCCGTGGAGTCGGTTCTCAATCA